GTGTGTGTGTGTGTGTGTGTGTGTGTGTGTGTGTGTGTGTGTGTGTGGTCTGACCTGATGGCCTCAATCCAGGAATCTCTCTCTTCTGCGCTGGAGGCACAGATTGTGTAGGACTGGTGTTTCCCCTCCACCACCCTGCCATCCGTCTCTGTCTTGCATGCTTTGATCTTCTGCCCTCGACTGTTGGGGTTGTACAGCTCCAGACAGTACTACACGATGCAAGACCATCAACATGAAAGTCACTCTTAGAAACTATCAGTTTATCAACTTGCAGAATGTGTTTGTGTTCTGCTTGAACAGCTGACAGGATCTTACCGGTTTACGAGGGTAATGCACTTCTCTAACACAGAGATTCTCCAGGGGGATGATGCCTCGGGGCTCTTTATCCTACAGGCAGATCCAAAAGACATTTATTGATGAGTCAGGTGGGTAAAAAAACAAAAAAATGTAGAGATGAGAATAAAAAAAATGTTACCAATGTCAGAAAAAAAGGGAAGCAGAAAAGATAGGGATAGATACCTGATATAAGATTATTAAGTGACACCTTTACTGGAAATAACATCACATTTTGCTCTTCAAAGCCTGAGTAATACCATGTAACTCACTGAGAATTTGGCATTAATGTGTCATTTTTATCTGTAACATTAGGCAAGAAAAAAAAGACACGTAATAAAACATGGGCGTTTTCAGCACAACCGTCTCTATGGTTACGTTCCAGTTAGGTTTTTTATAGCTACAACTTCGATGTCAGTGATATGTAAAAAAACATGATTAAACCCTACCACCTATGATGCCATTCGCCTGATTCATCAAAAGAGCTTAGCAACAGCTAGAGAAGGACAAATATACAGTGACAGCATGATGAGTTTGATAGAGGCCTTACAGTGGTGTACTCGAAGTAGTACAGGCAGTTGTCTGTCAGAATGAACCATCGCCTCTTCCACGTCTTAACCCGACCTCCTAAAATAGAGAGACAACAAAAATGTGGGCTGTTGGTTGGGGATATTATGTCACTTGCGTGTAAGCACACATGAGAATCTTCCAGTATTGGGTCATTCTCTCCGTGCTTCCTCTGTACTTTCCTGTTTGTGTAGCAAATTACTAAGATGTGATGCCACACAGCAGGGCAAAGCACGGTTAACATAAAAAAGTCCACTGTTTAAGCATGTTTTCTGGGTGCGATTTTACCAAGTTTGAGGAGCCATCCTTCTCTGTCGGGGTTGAAGAAGGTGTGAGTCAGATCATTCCCATCGTCCTCGGGGATTTTGAAGGGCTCGTTGCGTATGCTCTCGTACAGTTTCTGTGCGTAGAGAGAGTGAAATGAAATGCAACCATTAAATGAATTGCAGGTGAATATAAAATATGATCCTGAGCCTCCTGTAACCCGCTGACGGCCTCGACTGACCTGTGGGTGGAAGATTGGCATGAGAGAACCTGGATGTTTTCATGTCTGTGTGTGTTTCAGTTCCACATTAGTGGCGACTATGAAATACAGGTATTACTTTCTCGAGGAGGAAAGGAACTGTGTGGTTTTACTTTTTGTTACAAATACTGTAATAAATAATATTATTGTTAGCTTCTGTTTCATTTTGACGTTTTAACACAATCTCTTCTTGTTCACCTTCCTCTTATTATTCACAATATGAGCTAGCCGTTTCTTTTACATCACTGGGGAGCTGAAAATGTGTGGTGAATGTATGTGCAGAGGCTAAAATGTTAGCTGTGTGTCCATTTAGATAATTGCTTCTTGGCGTCTACGTGGGCGCTGTGATTGCGTTTTTGAGAGGTTCTCACCGACAGCAGATCATTGGGTAGGTCCTCTCCATTGTTGATGCCTCTGTTCATGGAGATGAAACGCTCCAGAGTGGTTTTGTCCTTCACGTTGGGGTTATGAAGGCTCGTGTTCAACATGATGATGGCAAAAGACAGGATGTAGCACGTGTCTGGTGTTAAGAGGAAGATGCACACGCACACAAAGAATAAGAGGAAGCCTGAGCCAGTGTTTCACACATGCATTTTTGGTACTGAATAGAGAAATACAGAATCAGTGACGAGGAGAAAGCACAAAAAAAAAGTAGAAAGGAAGACGTGAATATCAAAAATACAAAGATGGTGTGGTAATTAAAAAAAACAAAACCTCCGCTCTCTCACACACAGTCTTGTTTTTGACACACAGTTCAAACAGGAAGTATGAATATAGAATGCATATTGAAGCCCACCAGTCGACTGGAAGACATCGGGGTTGCAGTCGCAGTAGCGGGTGGCGAAGGCCTCCATCATACGGTCAATCTTCTGAGCTTCACCAGGCAGACGGAAACTCCACAGAAACTGTCTGTCACATACACACCGCAAAGGCAGAACACCTCAGTATGCTAACAATACACGTTGAGCTGTTTATCAGCAAGCAGACAGGAGACGCACTCTCTGTCTGTAGCAAGTCTCAAAGTCTGGACTTTATAGCTGCTTTTTGTGCTGAAGGACTGATTAACAGCAGATCGGTCAGCGTGACCTGTGGTGGAGTCATCTATATAGCATGTTAACATCAGCATACAAGGACAGGAAAGGTTACATTTAATGTGAGAATCAAGTTTGTCTGTTCTGCTTGTGAAATTCTGACAAATTTCATCTTCAACACTTGGGTTGGAATTGCTTGATCATCAGGGAAAGTTATTAATATACTCTAATTTTGTCAAGTTTGGTCATTATGAGTTGTGGCCATGCGGGAAGGGCTCGTTACACGAGTTCAGAGAAGTGCTCGCCATCAAAATAGCTGTATGAAAATATAGTTTCACATTTGCATTGGTTATGTCCTCTTTTTAGGTTCATTTTACATGTCAGTTAAGTTTGTGTCATGGGCGCCTTTATACAGTCAGGCATTGAAGTAGATCAAATAACTAAAGGAATCAAGTCATTCACCGGCTTCTCCATGTGTCTGTGCCCTGCAAATAACACAGTAAGAACTCATTTCAGATGTATCGTATCTTTAGAACAATGTGGTTTAGAGCGGACCTGTGTCAGAAATAGCTGCTGTAAAATGAAAGGGTGAGAGTCTAAGCACCGTGGTTCTTATTTCTCCTTTACTTTTTGTTTTAAAATTATTTGTCAGTTCCTTTTCAAGGTGGATTTTACTTGATCCTAACATGGTCAAGGAAAGGAGGGATAACCAGACAGGATAACCCCGATGACATCACTGTTACCGTGCAACATTAGGTAGATTTTTTTTTGACTTCTCAAAACGCCTGGAAGCATAATAAACAACAGTAAATAACTGTTTCCATCCTGAGTATTTATCACCATGATGACGAACCTTATATACATTTTTTTTTTTTTGGATAAAGGACATTTTAATTTGCTACACAATCTTAACATTTTTGATCAATACCCTTTTCTTTGGAAATCAAAATTTTACAAATACTTTTGGAATACCTTTTTTTCCTCCGTACCACCGTCGTCATTTGCAATCTAAATCTGCCTGTCTCTGTAGCAAAAGGTTTGGAGTAATTTTACTGCTCCTGATACCTCTGAGTGAACATTGGGCCTGTCCACACTGTGAACAAGTTATATATATCTGCTTGTCTGATAACAGTTACAGTTTAGTGACTGTGGAAAGACTTTCTGATGACATATTACTCTTTTTCTCTGTTTTTGCTCATAAATAAGTGCAAATATTACCATGTAGGTACATTTAAACTTCAATTATGCCCTTCTATGGCCTTTTGTCTTTGTTTAGCAGTTAAAAGGTCAAGTCTGCAAGTCTACATTTAGTCAGGTTCCTATTGGTGTTATCCATTATACTATTACAGATGTGTATGCAAACATCCTTGTAAAATGATCATGAAGAAAAATTGTGTTTATGAGACAGCAGATGAAGAGGGGCTGACCTGAGAGCCTGGACCAGGTTGAGGTCGGAGAACTCGTGCAGCTCCACAAAAGCCTTCAGGGTCTGAAGGTGGAGTTCTTCCCTGTGGGGCGGAGTGTGAGGGAAAGGCATGAAACAAAAGAAAAGTTTTCACCTTTTCCATACAAGACCTATCCTAACTTATCCTCTGTTTTAGCCCCCTCACGCTCTGATTCTACACCTTTTCATTTCCTCCACTCCCATCCTCATTGCCTCCCTTCTGCTGCCGTCTGCACACTCCCTTGCCTCACTCACCTTTCTCCAAGGAATTCTCCAATGGCTGTCTTGTTGAGTCCTTCTTCCTTGTAGAGAAACTCGGCGATGGATCGAGCACTTCCATCCAGCAGCTTAATCTCCAACAAGTAATTGATTCCCTGCAAGCAAGCAGATCATTTCACAGAAGTTCACATTTGGGCTCTATTTGTCCTCACCACTAAAACTGCACAGGTAAGAAGAATTTTTAGCTTCTGACATAGCACTTAAAATATGCACAGGAACACATGCGCTGCCTGCTGTGGCTAATGTGTGCTACTTTCACAATGATCTCATCTGGTAAAACACAGCAAGTTCACAGCATCTGTAATCCTAATTCCCTAAATTCAGTTATCTCTTCCTCTTTCTCCTCGATACTGTGCTTGAAGAGGAAAACAATGTTTAGCATTTAGTTATTGCCTGCATGCAGCTACATGCTGCCTTAATTCGCTTCTGTGTAATCCAACGTTGATTACACATTGATTGTCATGTTTATATTACTTTAGACTGCCTATGGTTTAAAGTGGAACACTGTTAATATAACTGTGTCAAGTTATAGTAAGTTGTAGTAAAGTTAAGCTAAACAAAAAAGAAAGTAAACCATGATAAGAATTAATCATTGTATCAGTAGTTGCAAACATTTGCACGCACAGCAGTCATAACTTTGACCTCCAAGCAAAACCACAGAAACTCTGGTGTGGGCCAGGGTGTCTGTTCTGTTCACAGAGACGGCGGCCCCCTCAGTATGACACACATGAAAGATATACAAGCTGCTGTGCTGGATGAAGGTGCTCAGCTGCAAAAGGTCAGACAGCGAAATGCAAAAAGGCTTTTTTGTTGGTTTGTTTTTTAATTCTTCATAACAAATAGTTATTCCTTGTCGAGTGTGTTGATCCAGCTTACCTTTTTAGGGTCCATGTTGAATTTCTTCTTCCCGTTTGCAAATTGTTTGTTTTTCTCTATTGCTTTGCTGAAAAATCAACAATAATGAGAAAAATGTCAGTCGTGGACAAAAGTCTTACACTTGTTCTTTTTCATTTTCTTTGCACACATGCTCGGTGCAAAACAACTGCACAGGATTGCTTGTGTAGCCTTCTTGAAGGACATTCAAAGCTCCTCTTTGGATGTTGGCTGTCTTTTTTTCCATTCTTTATCAAGATGTTCCCAAACTACTTTAATAATGTTGAGGTCCAGTCTCAGTGGAGGCCAATTCATGAATGATAGTGCTTCATTGTATATTTTTCTATCCAGGTTTGTTTTACTGCACTGTCAGTTTGTTGGGAGATGGTATTACATGGTGGATCAAAACCTGACAATACTTTTCTGCATTCATAATTCCTGCAGTTTTGAAAAGAATCCATCACCCCTGTCTGAAATGCAGTCCCAAACCAGGTCTGAGCCTCCACTATAGCTGTAGAGACTCATTGTTGTGCCTCCTTTCTTATGTCCTGCCTACATACTGACATTCAAACTTTAACCATGACCATGACCTGTTTTCACTGATTTTCAGTCCAGGCCTTTTCTCCTAGTTTCCCTTCCTTAAGAATGACTTCTTGACAGACACGCCTCCACAGAGACCATTTCTGAAGCAGCTTCACCAAAGAGTAGATAGTCGGTGTAGTCGATGTGTCAGTTGTTTTTTTTTCCCTATTTCTTAAGGACATGACAGTACTGTCATCTGCTGTAGATTGTCTTTCAGGCCTCAACTTCCTCTTTTTTCCTCGACTGTTTCCTCAAATTGCTTTAAGGATATGATGCATGCCATGCCGAGATCGTGACAGATGGCCGCCCCTCCCTGAGCCTGGTTCTTCCAGAGATTTATTCCTGTTAACAGGGATTTTTTCCTTCACACTGTTGCCAAGTGCTTGCTCATAGAAGTTTCCCTGATTGTTGGGGTTCTCTCTGTGTCATCTTATGGTCTTTACCTTACAATATAAAACACCTTGAGGCAACAGTTGTTGTGATTTTGCACTATATAGATAGAATAGAATAGAATAGAATAGAATAGAATAGAATTGAACTGAATTGAATTGAGATATGCCATGTTGTCGCTTAATGATGGGACAGGACAGAGAATAAGTGATAAAGCAGCCAATTTCTAATGAAAAACTTTAAAAGCCTTCCGAAAGCCTGGAGAACCACTGCAAAAGTTTGGCTCTTTGGAAGCAAAATATGACTAAATTACACCTGCCTCAAGCCTTTTGCACAGTACTGTAAAATTAACATCATTAGTCCATAATTATTTTTTTGGAAGTTGCACAATATGGCACATTTGATGCAATATATACATCCGAGACTCATTGGTTGCAACAGGTTTCATGCATCTCATTCTATTGACTATCAACCTAGTTTGGATCAGTGATTATAATTAGGGGGGAAGTGTTGCATAATTTTGCCCACAACTGTGAAACAAAAAACTGTTTTCTCGTCAAAAAAATAGCTAATCAATATGTTATAAGTGGAAAACTCTTTTCAAGTGTTAGTAATCATTGGCAAGGCACTGTGTCACTGAGTCATGTAGGACATTTACATGTTTTTTTGTCAGTGGCATTGTGTAGGTGTTCTAAATACACGACAAAGAAACCTCCGTGCATGATGTAGGTGTAGGGTTTTTCCCATTTTGCACAAAAAAAACTAAAAAAGTCTACTTACTTTTCTTCTGCAGACTCAAAACTGAGTATTTCTGCCATCACATTGTCTATCTCCATTTTTAACTTCTGGAAAAGAAAGAGAGAAAGAAAAGTATTTTATATTGTTTAAAAAAAAACATGAAAAACACGTAAATAAGTGCAATGATTGTATAAACTTTTTTTTGTAAGAGTGCCATATTAATGGAAGATCACCCAGGGGCCCCCAATCCTTCTCACCTTTTTTTTTTTGAAACATTATGCTTCTTTTTTCACATTTTATTTTTTTAATAATGCAAGAATTGCTGTTATGGTGATCAGGTGTTCAAGCCTTAACAAAATTAATCTGCTTTTCATTTAGACATAGAGTAAAATAACATAAATATCTGCTGAAGATGCATCTCAGGTTCATTCTAAACTGGTGCTGCTACCATGAGGTGAAAAGACAAATGACACTTTATTAATTCTGTTTGTGGTGGTGGGAGCGAGGGGCCATATAAAATCTGCCCCAGGGCTGTTATTGGCCCCCGGACTGGACCTTGGACATGCCTGGTATATGTATACAGGTTACCTGGATATCATCCAGAAGGTCTTTTTTATATGTCTTGATGGTTTTGATCTCCATCTTCTCTTCTGGTGTAAAATCTGAGGAAACTAAACAAACAGTGGAACAAAATTATGACAGATTCTGAGGAATTCTAATTCCAACAACAAGTTCTTCAAATACAACAATATCTACTCTAAAACAAATGCGCAGAACGGAGCTGTTCTTGAATAATTTGAATGATAATTTGCATTTTGAAAATATGGAGTATATTTAAAAACAACCACAACACAGGGAAGACGGCTTCTCTGGAAGATATGCGAGACAGGTGCTGTGGTTTTTTCATGAATGATTTCTGTCACCACAAAACAGTACTGTGAATATTTTTCTTGAAAACAGAGACTCTCGCAAATCCATGGTGAGTTTTCTCATATTTCCATTCCATTAAACAGAAACAGAGCCATAGCATGATTTTTTTTTTTTTTTAATGATCATTAATTCTAAGGAAGAAAATAGTGTTTGGAAATTTGCTCGGTTATAGATAATATTTTACCGTACTATGATTTTAGATTCAATTATCAGTCTCATGTGGTCATTGCGTCACAGAGATTAGTTATCTTAATGACCCAGAGTTTCCTTCATCTTCACATTGTAGTGATAGACTGTTTTCCACTGGGGAAACTTGAGGGCCCCTTTTAGAGCAGCCCCCACACTTTTGAGCTTTGTCTGCACCTGTAGGAGAATTTCCAAACCAGGCTCTGGAGGAGAAAAAAGGCGCCTCCACTGGAAACAGCTGCTTCTGACTGTCTTTCAAATACCTCTGGGTATGGATCAGTACTGATCAGTTTTAAACTCAAACATGGCCATCGGTTTGCCACATAAACACACATAATAAACAGCACAGCAACAACCACATTCATTTGCCTCACTCCTGTTCCATTTTACAAACTTGAATGTGACAGAAACATGAAGAAGCTGTGGCCAGCTTAGGTGGGGGTTATACTTTCTCACAGCCACAACTGTACGAGGGTCCTCTTGGGACTGAACAGCCCCTTTCCTACGCCCACAACTGAGCATAATTGAAACATTACTGCAAAGCCTCAGAAACAAAAAAGAGGCAGCATTACTCTTACCATTTCTATAAATGTTCATGCCAACTCACAACTCTCTGCAGTAGAAACATGTCTAATGATAGCCAGTGTCACCCGCCTTCACATATTCAAGGGTCAGGGTTAATATCAAGGTATGGTCAATTTTTAGTAAGGTGCAATTTTTATTTATTTTTTTAAAATTCTTTGTGCACTTTGAATTTTGTCTTTGTGGCTTTATTTGTAGCAGTGTCAGTTTGCAAAGCAGCTCCATTGCAGCTCACCGAAGTTGCATCATCTTAAAAGAGCACTGACCTCCTGTTTGGCTTAAAAATGCATCATTAACGAAAGCGTCATACCATTTGGTGGTTTACCCAACATCCTCTCTCAGCAAATTCCATTTAATTTTCTCTGTATTTGTGTTTTACTTAGATAAAGACAAAATTAAACACCTGTTTTTTAGATTTTAGAAAATGAAAAGACGTTACTTTAAAAACAACAACAACAAAGCAACATATTTTTTATCATCAGCATAGATGATGAGATGTTATGATAAGCAAAGCAAAGTGTATGAACTCTGGTTCCTCAGCAGCATTCAGGCCATACTGAATCTGTAAAACTTTTTTTTTTTTTTTACATTTATCTTTTGAGAAAATAAATCTTTTTTAGAAGATTTAAAGCTAAAAGACTGCTAACTGCCAATACTTCCTGTAGAGATATGTTGTTTGCTGTTAATGATGTGACCACAGCACTTCCACTTCCCCACCCTTCCTTTACACATCTTGTGCAACAAAGCTGACATGCTTAAATCATTGGAGCCTTTGTTTAGGTAATTTAGATACCGAATTACCAATCTGAAAAATAACCGCTGACTTTAAGTTACGTTTTAAAGTTTAGGCATCTTTGCAACTTCCTTTTTAATGTTACAGTCGGTGACGTGCATGTGAATGTGAGTCTCTTCCCCATTTCAGCTGCTAAGACCCACAATGTATGACCACAAGGTTAAACAGTGAGAAGTGGTATATGCTGAAGCGTACAACCATCACTAAACCGTTCCACCAGCTGTTCTCAGCATGCACTGAAGGTTTGCACCAGGAATAGCAGTATTTATTTCTAATGATTTGTCTTCAAATAACAGCTGTTTAGTTAGAAACATGACAGTGTGAAACTTGAAGCTTCCCTATAAAACAGCTGGATAACTTTTTAAGATCCAATTCATGTCATAAGGTCAAGCGTCTTTATAATAAGAGTATCACACATCAGGAGTATACTAAAAGACAATTATGAAGGTAAATTGCATGAAAGAGCCTTTTAATTTTAAATATCCAGTGACAGTCTCTGAAAATCACACCTACATTTAAATATCAATAATTTAAACAATCCCGTTCTCTGTAAATATTAACTAAATAAATACATATTAAAATCAGTAATAAAAAGGCAACTAAACCAAGTCTTACCCATTTGGCAATCAGTCATTTATATCCAAGGATAGAGGGGAAAAAATCAGTACAAAATCAGCTAAACAAAGTCGATGTATCAAGGTACGCAGGCTGCCTTGGCACACAGTGAATTAACAGCTGAATGAAGTGGATGCTGTCTTTCAACCCCACCTCTTCCCCATCTGTCACAATACCACTCATACATGAGACCGCAAACAGGTCAGCCTTCAAAATAAAACGGTTAATAAACGAATTTGTCAGAGATTTAATTTGATCAAAGAGGGTCTTTTTTTCATGTTTCATTTCAGGATGCAAGAAGTCAACTTTTCCATTTATGTTTTTAAACGCATATTAACAGAAACAGTCGGGGTAAAACACAGATGTAAAAAAAGAAAAGAAAAGAAAAGAAAAAAAACATTTTTTTGCACAGGTTTGTGGACCTGAGATATCTGCAAATATCTTCCACTGTTTTGTAGTTGAATCTTCGAGTGTTTTCTGTACGTCAAAGCTGAAAAAACTAGCTAGGAGACGAGTTTGGAAAGCATTACTATCATGTTATCATATGATGAGGTGAGCCACGAAGCCTTGATAGAGATATATTTACCCTTCAGCGGGAAAATGTGACCGCAATTACAGGTGACTTTATTTAACTAAAATGTGATACTTTTATTTTGAAGGCTGTGTGGCTTTCCTCCTCTGCTTAACGTAGTGTACTCTCTCTCTCTCTCGGGCTGATTTGACAGCTGAAAGCTCGCACTGTTGAAAAACCAACGAGTAGTTAACGGGTTGAATTTTGCATGTTGCATCCTGCCAAGGTAACCATAAACAAATTGAGGTTTAAACACACTTTGGAAACGGAAGTAAATTTATTCAAGGAACATTAGCAGGAGGAGAAAATAGAATGTGAATATAAAGTCCTCATAATTAAACCTGACATTATAACTATTATTAAGCGAGGTGTTAATGTGTATTCTGAATAATGTTTTTCTCAAAAAAAAA